AAATCGTGTACTAGGTTGTGATGATCTTCGATCTTGGTTTCCAATAAAGCTACGAAATTAGGTCGATGGTAATCCACCATCGAACGGAAAGCTCTTCTAAAATCAATATTACTTGCACCCTACAATTCTAGATGATGATATTCATACTAGTATTCTGGGTTGAGGACATCCTCCTTTGGCTCGTTGGAGGACTGTGTTGACTCATGTTGCCTTCTTGGTTCATCCAATAATGCGTGAACATTGTTGAAACCGTCACTACTACATATTAGTAGATTCCCGGTGGGTTTAGCTTCCTTATAATGATTGAACATTTCCTCAAATTCACTGGGCAGCTTAAGATGAATCTTTTTTCTCTTCTTTCCTTGAACACCATTGTTTTTGAGTAGCTCAGCACTCCATGCTCCACTACTCTTTCTGCTGGCACTTCTTCCTCGTCTTCCTCCTCTTCCATCCTTGCTTGATTTTGATCTTGCTGGGGAGCTGGTATGAGCATTGGAATAGTCTGTATCTCTGTTGTTGGTTGTACATTGTTGTTGGCATCGTGTGGTAGAGGCATGTGTATGGATTGTGCATGGTTCAATGGGTGTGCATGGTTTGTTGTATGGATTGTGTGTTTGTTCGTTAGGTGTTGTGGGCTGCTTTGATACATTAGGGCTGGGGCTGGTGGTTCTGAGGATTGGGGAAGAGTGGCATCTGCCGGTTGAATAGGTTGGAGGGAGCTTGGGCATGTAAGCTTGGGTATCTCCATGTTTGTTGACTCCATGGAGAAGGGTGAATCCCTAGGGTTGGGTATATAGGGAAGGACTGTGGGTGATGGGGAAGCATCTAGAAACATGGCAGGTTCATGATGTTGTTCATGCCTAGCTAGAAACTCTCTGAAACTATTTGTTCTAGGTAGCTTGGGTCCTCTATCTGAACCATAACGTTTTGCACATTGAATTGTAGACTTATGCTCATAGCATGCCTCATTAACACGTGCTCCAGCCATGATTATGGAACATGATTTCGTTGGATGAGCATCGTTGAGTAGATTAGAGGAGGTTGGGTTGCATTCAGGGGAGGAACCTCCCCTGTGTTGTTTTGTGCATGCTGATTCTCCCTTATCCACATGTTTCGTCTTGCTTTGTGCATTCTCCTGTTCTGCTATATGGTGGAAGTCTTGGCATTTTGTCCTACTAGTGTAATGTGTTGGTCTTGATTAGTTAGTTCCTTTGCATGGTCTAGCCCAAGTGAGCAGGTGTTTAGGCCATTTTCGTTGAAGGTGCTATGTTTATAGTGTGTCCATTGATCTAGTGGTCTTTGTTTTGGTGGCTGAATTTCTTGAGAATTTATTTGATGATGACTATTATTTGAATCCTTGTCTCCATGTTTTATAATAAGGTGACTGGCCAGTGTACTAAAATGGTTGTTTAGGGAAGGATTGTTCAATTCGTGGGGGAGGCCTTATCTCCCATAAATGCAATGATGGATTCCTCAAAGTAAGGGTGTTCATAAAATCTGAAAAATCGAACCAAACTGATAAAAAAACCCGATAATTTTTAGGTTTGGTTTGTTATTAGTTTTAAATTTTAAAAACCAATCAAATTTGGTTTATTTTGGTCAACAAATAACCAAAAAAACCGAACCAAACCGACTATAAAAGTAGCTATTTAAATTTATTATTAAACCTATATATATATATATATATATGTGTGTGTGTGTGTGTGTGTGTGTGTGTGTGTGTGTGTGTGTGTGTGTGTGTGTGTGTGTGTATTTTTATATAAATTTTCTAATATTTTATGGTACATATTAGTCATTTATATATTTAGTCTAGTTCTTTGCTATTTAATAATATAATTCTTTGCCTTTACATTCTAGTTTGATTGGTAGTTTTATTTTGCTATGTACAAAAAGAATTTATTTCATGTTTAAAATAATCGATTTTTAATTGAGTACTTAAATTATTCATCACTATTTGATTCAATTATCATCGCAATATATCTTGGTAAATGATAGATTTATCAAAGAACAATTGATTTGATAGTGTTATGTTGAAAATATAGTAGCCGGAATATTTGTTTTGTAGTGTATATCTCATATTTAAGAAAAAAAACCGATAAATAACCGAAAATTTTGAAAAACGGACAAAAACCGAAAAAAATTGAATCGAGATAAAAAATCGACTTAATTGGTTTTGTTTGGTTCCAATATTTGAAAAACCGACTTACTTGATTTGATTTCTTTGTGGAAAAAAAACCGACCCAAACCGAACCATGAACATCCCTACCTCAAAGCTTGAGGTTGTTTCAATGCCATAGAGGCTATGAGGTCTTCTTTTTGATTGCTTTCAAGGCGGGGTTTGATCATTAGAGAGTTAATGCAAGAGAGGTCATTAATTTGTCTTATGATTGACTCTTTAAGGCTAGCTTGATTTCTAGGTTATAAGGTATTTACTATATCCAATTGTTTAAAGGTATTTTTTGGCATATTGATGAGCAGGATTTGTTTGTCGTCTGGGCAATGGTCGGTTCTTTGGATCTTAGGATTGTTAGGGTCACTTCTTGTTGGGGCCATGACAAAATTTTCTAGGTTGGTAATTATGTTTTGACTAGAATGGTTAGAGCCTAATGTTTGAGGTTTCTTAGTATCCCCTGGATATTTGTGTTGCGCTTGGGTAGTGTGAAGCTTTGGCTTGTATCCTTGCGTTGTATTGGATGAGCTTATCGAGCCCTTTTTTGTTTGGTAGGTCGTTCCCTCCATTGTTGTGTTTTGGATCCTCTTACCCCCCATGGTTAGTGTTGTTGTTGTTGAAGGTTGTGCTCCCCAAGTTTGGTTTTGGCTTTCTTTTGTGCGAAACTATTGTCCGCTGATCTAGTTTATTCATTAGGTCTTTCATATCGTTAGCTTATTAGCTGGCTCTTCGTTGCTCGAATACATTGCCTGGATTTTTTGAATTGGGCTTGAATTTTGGTTATGTCCTAAGCGTCCACATCTTGTACACAAGATGTTGAAACCTTCATATGTTACCATTTGGATATGTCTACCAATTATTACATGGGTTTTCAAGGGGATCTCTATGGGTACTAACACACAAAGTCTAGCGTATTTACCCTTTAACACTGAAAATGTGCTAGCATCAATTCGAATTAGGCTCCTTAGTTTGTTTCCTATCCGTTGAAGTATATCATAATAGTAAAATTTCGTGGGTAGTTTAGGTAGTCTTACCCATATAACTGAGTATGTTAGTGAGGCTATGGGTGCAAAAAACTTTGGTTCCCATCTTCTTACCGTCAAGAATTGGTTTCCTACGAACTATGTCCCTTCATGAAGTACCTTGTTATAGTTTTCCTCCTTAATGAACTTGACCATGTAATAGTCATACCCAAGGTCGATTAAGGAGAGGGGTTCCAAAGATTTCCATATAGGGTGAAGCTTTTGCTGTAAAAACTGGAAACCTACTCTTCTTCCAAATATTTTTATGATTAAAGCATTGGACCAGTTTTATAAATTCTTTCCTTATCTGACGAGGATAAGGAAATGAAGACATCCGTAATAAGAGTATTTTTCAGATTCTTCTTCTGGTACGAGGATTTCGATGTTACCTTGAACCCGAATTTGGTTCTTATCTTGCGATTCATTAATACTGGATTTTAGTTTTTCCTAGAAGGATACCCCTACTTCTTTGGTTTGAGTTAGAGTTTCACTTATTAGAGAGGTGGGGGGAATGTTCGAATCCTGGTTTTGGTTTGCCTTTGGGTTATTCTTTGCTACAGCTTGTTGTTCCTCTAGTTCCATATCCAGATCCATTGAGGTCAGTACGGCAAGGGCGTAGAAGGCAGAAAAAACAGTAAGATGGGGTCGATTAGGATTTCCTAAGGTATACTAACTATCCTAGCGAGAAGGAGGAGGTTCTCTCTCCAACCCATGGCTATTCCTTAATGGTATAAATCAATACAAAATTATTTTTACTTTCTAAACCAATGCAAAATTAAAAAAATTGATTTTCAACACTATTATAATTCATAGTATTGAATTGAATTTCTTTTGTTAGTATTAGTATTGATCTTATTTTGGCTTGAGTTTTATTCGAGTTACTAACTTTATGGGCTATAAAATATATTTGACCATTCAAACATTCTAAGTCCAAACTTGAATAATATATTAAAAAGAAAGAACTACAAAAAATTTAAAAAAAATTTATAAATTATATTATAATAAATATTTTTACGTATAATTTTTTTTAAAACTTGTATGCATATAATGTCGGGCTGTTTTGGTTTCGATTTGACTTTTTTTAGTTAAAACCAAATCAAATCAGTTATGATCGAGGTTTTTTTTTTCAATATCAAACCAAATCAAACCAAACTATAGTCTGGATTTTTTTTTCGATTTGACTCGATTTATTAATTTTGTGCGGTTTGACGGTCCCTTTGTATACCCTACTCATGTGCACCCTCTATTTTAATTGGATATTTTATTAATATCATATATCTCAGACTATATTACGCATCTTTGGGGTTGCTGATTGATTTGTCAATTTGATTCACTATGGTCGCAAATGATATATAAATGATGACAAAAATCGACACGAGTCGGTGGTGGGGTACAACTTACAAGGGAGGAAACGAAGGAGGAGACAATGATTTTGAAATTAAAAGTGTATGGGGGATAATTAATATACGGAAAAGGTCCAAAAATGGGTTTCGGAGCAGGTGCTGTCCGCTTATGAGGCTGTCATGTCATAGCTTCGTGGGTTAAAGGACATTAGTGACACATTATGCTAACTGTGAGAATATTTTTGGCCCAGTTTACTAACGGAGGATAAAAATGAACTATATACCATAGTTTAGGAATATTTTTGGACTTTTTTCGATTAATATATATATATATATATATTAAAATAAAAAAGGTGGCTTCAAAGTGGGGTAACTTTTGATAAAGCATGATTGTCGTTATTCTTTTGGTACATTTCCCTCTTTTCACATTCCCTTAGCAGCCATCTGTTCACGGTGTAGAAAAACCTGCCCACGATCTGTTCGATATAAAACAAAGTATTTGTAATTGTGATTGGTTACGTCAATGATTTTTCTTTTGACTTTAATATAATGCAAAATTATATTACTGTCGGTATGGTTATTATTCAGTAGCTTCTGTTCTTTCAAGATTAAAAGTGATGTCCAGGCAAAAGCTCTAATTTCTGCAAAAACAAATCTGAGGTTGGGGCTAAGAGTCTACTGAAGAGAAACCATGGATGAATATTTTCAAGAAAAAGGGTCAAAGGAACCTTTATTAGAACCCAAAGAACCAGTGGTGGCTGTAGAGCATATAAACTCTGAGCTTGAAGACATATTGTCTGACACAAGCTTGTCCAATTTCCAGATGCTTGAGCGAGCCTCTGTTATAGAATTGAAAAATCTATTCCGGCTAGCAGCCCCATCAGTTATTGTTTATTTGCTCAACAATATCACTTCAATGTCTACCCAACTATTCTGTGGTCATCTCGGTAATCTTGAACTCGCTGCTGCTTCCCTTGGCAATGAAGGTATTCAACTCTTGGCCTATGGCGTCATGGTAATTTTCTATCACCTACCCTATTAGTTAACATATTTGTATCATGGCACTAGTATAACTAATTTGCTACAAACTGAATCAATTACTATTAATATTCTTTTTGGAGCAGTATTATTTAATAACTTGATTGACTAATTAAGGTTATATACAAGTGTTGTAGACTTGCCATTCCTTCTTGTTAATCGTCCTACCATATAAGCAGATCTTCTTTTTCCCCGGCAATGGCACTTTCTTTGTTGCCACGTGACCAGGAGGTAACGGGTTCGAGTTGTGGAAACAGACTCTTGCAGAAACGGCTGCATACAACAGACCCTTGTGGTCCGGCCCTTCCCTAGACCCTGCGCATAGCGGAAGCTTAGTGCTCGGGCTACCCTTTTTTGTTTTATTGAAGAAACAATTTTATTGGAGCAGTTAGGGATGGGGAGTGCAGTGGAGACACTATGTGGGCAGGCATATGGAGCTCACAAGTATGGAAGTCTTGGAATATATCTTCAAAGATCAACTATCCTCTTGATGTTATCCGGAATACCGATAATGGTGGCTTACTTATTCTCAAAGCCAATTTTAATTTTTTTAGGAGAATCAGAGAAAGTTGCATCAGCAGCTGCACTATTTGTTTATGGTTTAATTCCTCAAATATTTGCTTATGCTGCCAATTTTCCTATCCAAAAGTTCTTGCAAGCCCAAAGTATTGTAAATCCCAGCGCATATATAGCAGCAGCGACATTAGTCCTCCATCTTTTCCTAACATGGATTGTGCTTTATGTATTTGAGTGGGGATTGTTTGGAGGAGCCTTGGTTCTAAGTATTTCGTGGTGGATAGTAGTCATTGCACAATTTATGTACATATTGTGGAGTGATACATGCAAGAAAACATGGAGTGGATTTAGTCTGCAAGCGTTTTCTGGGCTGTGGGATTTCTTTAAGTTGTCAGCTGCTTCATCTGTGATGTTGTGTTTGGAGGCGTGGTACTTTCAGATTTTGGTTTTAGTTGCTGGTTTGCTACCAAATCCTGAAGTGGCATTGGATTCTCTAGCTGTTTGGTGAGTGGGATATCTTGTTGTAAATTAGTTACCTCTGCATTGTGTTCCATTTGGGTTAATGTGTAGTTGATGATCATAGAATTTGCTTGCAGTAACACAATTCTTGGATGTGTGTTCATGTTATCTGTTGGTTTCAACGCTGCTGCAAGGTTAGCGATGGATTACTGGAATACTAAACTCTCTAGAAACACTTTCAATTTGTAAAATATAGTTAGTAAAGGCCTCCTCTGTTCAGAATGAATACAAAAATGATAGGCTAAACTAGATTTTTGAAAGTCAGACAAGATTACACAGCTCTGATTTTTGAAAATGTCAGTGTAAGGGTGAGCAATGAATTGGGAGCTGGACATCCAAAATCAGCTGCATTTTCAGTTGTGGTGGTAACATTAAGCTCGTTCGTGATTGCTGTAGTCATTGCCATAGTAGTGATGTTGCTTCGCGATGTGATGAGTTATGCATTCACAGGCGGGGAAACCATTGCTAAAGCATCCTCAGAACTTGCACCACTCTTGGCTGCCTCAGTAGTTCTCAATGGTATTCAACCTGTTTTATCTGGTGAGTCTTCTGTCAACTTTGTATCTTAAGATTCTGCTGAAAATCAAGATAATTAATATAATTATATGGTAGAATGTACATATCTAGATTCACTTCATATGTTGAGGTTAATTGAATAGACTATTAATTGGAATATCTTTGACATTAGGAATTAGCCCTCGTGTCTTGAATTTCAGAATTCCAGTTCAATTGTTTGGGACATAAATGCCTTGCATTGTCCTAAAATTAGATTTTTAGTTCAATATTTTATGACAAAATAAGTACTAGCTAATCCGTAAATAGCAGCCCTAAGAATAGTTGTTTGTGCACTTCCTCATGATGTGGTCAACTATGAATTTCACTATCAGGGATAATGCAACTAGAAATCGGCATAAATGCATGAGTTCTCCTTAATTAATGATATGAACATATATTATGTTTGATTGAAGGGGTGGCCGTTGGGTGTGGATGGCAAGGTTTTGTAGCTTACGTTAACGTCGGATGTTACTACGTTGTTGGCATTCCATTGGGTGTTCTTCTTGGTTTCAAATTCAAACTCGGAGCTAAGGTAAGCAGGTTATTATGGCAGTTATTAGTCCTTTCTATCCTTTTATTTTCCTTAATAAGCAGGTTTTGTTTCTTCAATTTTGGTATAATCGCCAGCAAAAAGCTCGTCTAATAGAATCATTTGAAATACTAGAATGGAGAAAGACTAATTGAGTTTTAGCAATTTCTTTTGTGATTAAACCAAGTTTATTTACTTAATTTTGGGTAAATGTGTAGGGATTATGGCTGGGCATGTTTGGAGGAACAGCCATACAAACTCTAATCTTACTATGGGCCACTTTTCGAACCAATTGGGACGACGAGGTACGTTTTCTCCGCCACTAAATGTAGAATACTTTGTGTCTATTATATACTCCTACATCATTTTGATTTCTGAAATATATGAAAAAGGTTGATTTTTAAATTTAAAGAATTAAATGAGTCGATCCTCATACTTGAAATATACTACTCCTTTATTGAACTGAGATAGACCGATTAAAAATCGGTTCTAACCACTCTAGCTCGCTTTCTTTTTTCAGGTGGAGAAAACGAAAAATCGATTAAATAAGTGGCGAGATAGCAGTAAAACCCCATTGTTGAACGAATCATGAGAACGACCATTTTTGCATTAGAATGCAAGCATGTCCGATTGGTTAACATCAGTCCATTCTCTAACCTATTGTTGTGTGAGACCCAGAGCTTTTATGATGGCTTAAGATTTCATACCCTCACAAACTCCGATCAGATACTTGAGACTTAGTGTGGTGTTAGCTATCTTAGTGTTTCCAAAAGACCATGTACACAGATTCGGTCTAGCGGAGCATATCTAGAAAAGCAGTCAAACTAATATTAAGGGGATCGTGAGAAGAGGAAGATCATTGATGTAATCTCATTTATTTGTGTTCACTGGTGCACTTATGAGTTATGATTGTGAATACAAGAAACAATGATATATGAGATTTTAAGATTATATCAAATGTGATTCATATGATCTAGGATACCGTATACTTTATGATCTATTTGCAGGTTTGCACTTTGACGAGAAGCTATATACTCCTAATAGATGTAGAACACTTAGCTCTCGCAGTACTTAAACTATTGATTTTATTTTACAAGTGTATCTGTAGGTTAAGTAGAATTAAGGATTGATGCACGCCTACTTTTCCATGACCAAAGTATTCTATTAGCATTCAACAGTGATTTATAACAGATTCCTTATGCTCCAGACGTCGCATAGCACGCACTCCCTCAGCCCATTCTGTTAGCCTGGCCCCACCACAAAATCAATTAATCTTCTACATGCCATTTTCACACGACTACTCTTTCTAGGCTGAGTAGGATTATTCTTATCCAACGTGTCATCCCTGCTGTCCTCTATGTCACTATTATCATTCATAACAGCTACTTTCTCGTTTCTTTCTTCTTTCACTTAATCTTATGAGAAAAAGAAAGAAAGCAATGGAGTGACCCCTGTGAGGGGTGAAGTGCACCGGTAGTCACTTTTAAGCCCAGTATTTAAAATATATTCATAATCTATAATGTATTTAAAAATTAGTCAATTCATCCGAACTTAAGGACTAAATATCCTGAATTTTTGAGTTGCTAATTGAAAATTCAGAACTTAGTGTCCTAAGTTTTTGAGCTGCTAATTTGAAATACAAAACACTTCTGAACTGTTAATTTAAAATTCAGCACATAAAATTTGAGTTCTTGGATACAATTTCGAAGTTTAGGACATGATGTCCTGAAGTTTGAACTTTGATGTTTAAACTTCAGAACGTCGTGTCCTGAAGTTTGAGTGAATTAGTTAATCGTTCAATATATTGTAAACTCTAGATGGAGTATAATTCAAATAGTATACTTAAAAGTGGCTACATGCGGCCATTTCCACCCCTTGCGGTTGTGAGCCCGTTTTACTTAAAAGTAATCCTGACTTGATTTCCAATTGTCAAGGTGAGTGTCGAAGTAGAAATAGCGTGGGATAGCCACTTTTTAACATGGTATTTAGTTTTTATCCAGCATTTTTAATGTTGAGCAAAAATAGCTAATACTCTATTAAAATTAATACGAAAAGATGTTTTTACCCTTTCTTCATGAGTCCTGTGTAAATATTAAGGACGTGGTGTTCTTAACATTTACACTGCACACATGAAGTTAAGGACGTCATGTCCTTAATATTTACACTGCACATATGAAGTTAAGGACTTGATAGGACACTTTGTCCTTAATATTTACACAGCATTCATGAAGCTAAGGACATTATGTCCTTAATATTTACACAACACTCATAAAGTTAAGGAAACTATGTATGCATATATGATGTTAAGGACATGAGGTCCTAAAGTTTAACAACAAAAGGTGCAAATACATGTTAAGGACATTTATGTCCTTAACATTTATACTGCACACATGAAGTTAAGGACGTCATGTCATTAATATTTACATTGTATATATGAAGTTAAGGACATGACAGGACACTTTATCCTTAATATTTACACAGCATTCATGAAGCTAAGGACACCATGTCCTTAATATTTACACAGCCCCCATGTCTAGCACAGAGGTATTTTCGTCCAGGCGGATAACAATTTATTAAGCATTGGCTAAAGAGTAAATACATTTTAAACAGTGGCTAAAGAGTAAAGACATCTTTAATTAGTGGCTAATTGTGCACTTCCCCCAGTGTCGAAAGTGAATTGGACCTCCACTTAAAATGGGCCAAGCGAACGAAACCGAAGAGTCCAGCCCAATCCAAGTCGTACAAAGTTTTTTGGGATCTTTTTTTCTTCATATACCGTATATGAAACTTATTTACCAAAAATATCCAAATATTATATATTACCCGCCCTAAACAAGTTTTTGTTACCAATTATATACAATCCATGATTAATGCCTTAAATTAGGGGATTCAGTCACACCATTTTTCTTTTTTCCTCCTTCCTGTTTCCTTGTTTTCCTGTTGCCTTAATTGCTTGTAAAACAATCAAATTTCCAGCTGATTCTCAGTATTTTTGTACCAATCCCAAACTACACATCATTTCTCTCTGCTAAAGATACAAAATGTGAAAGCAAAATTTTGCACCATTCATCAAGTTTGCACTCTTCTTTTTGTTATTAATTACGAATATTATATTATATTATTATTATTATCCAGCAATTTGCTCTGATCAAATAGATACAATTTACAATATTTGTACGCTTTTATTATCTGAGAACACAAACAATTATTTCTCTAGCTTTAAATATTTAAAATATTTTCTTTAAAAGTTCACTTTAAATTTTTTATAAATATATACATTTTACTAAAGGAAGATGGAGGAATTGATGTCTTAATTTTTTTTATTTACACTAGAACATAATTGATCGGAAAGTTTCAGATGAAAAGAAAAGCTCATGGAGCAAGAAAACACAAATGGAGAAACACCGAAGTTCCAACAACACCAAGAAGAAAACTTTACTCAACGTATCAAGTCACAAGTAATATGTGTTTTCTATATAAAATTTATCATTTATATTAAATAGATCTACAATATCATAAACTTTAATACAATTTTCATAATACAAAATGTCTTTTGTATATATTTTGTATATGATTTGTATATATTTTGTATGTGGTGTGTTCTTCTTCCTCTCTGAAATTTCAATCAAAACTTTCTCTCTTAATACAATTTTGATACATATCAATAACTTTATGTAAAAAGATAGTATTGATAACTTAAATATTGTTATGAAACAATAAAAGAAGAAGAAGAGTATCACAGAGCAAAGTAGAGAGAAGAGAATTCTTATTGATATGGGATGATTTACAATGGAATAGAACTCTCTATTTATAGAGAGAGAGTGACTTAGCCACCAAGTAATAAACCCTAGAATCTCTCTAAATATAGACATTCACCATAAATAAAATTCTATTTATAACACTCCCCCTTGAATGTCTATTCAACAGATAATATGCCTCGTTAAAACCTTAACTAAAATAAAACTCAGTGGGAAAAAAATTCTAGAGAAGGAAAAAAGTACACATATCTAACAATACGCCTTTTGGTTGCCTCGTTAAAAACCTTGCAAGGAAAACCCAGTGGGACAAAAGTTTGTAAGGGAAAAAGAGTACAACACGTATTAACTCCCCCTGATTAGAGCATTAATTCACATCTTTAAGCATTTGCATTTCAATCCTGTGCATCATCTTCAAAACGATCTTTGGTAGAGACTTGATAAACAAATCAGCCATATTAACTTGAATGAATATATTGTATCTTGAAATCATCATTCTTGATAGAGATGTAATGTCTTCATAAACTGTCGTAGAATGGCCTTTTCAATATCTCCATAGAGGTATTCTCGCTATCACATTATCATGCTTATAGTTATAGCAAGATACATATGTGCACAAATTGCACTTAGGATGTGGTACTTCAAGACCAAGAATTGTATATGCTTTAAGCGACTTAAATCCTTCATGGATTGTCATATAAGTTAAGTCATATAAGCCATATAATAGACTTTAGATGCATATCAAGTTTTTATGTCATGCTAGACATATAAGATATCGGAAACTGATTGCACATACCATTGACTTTATACTTTCAAGTATTTGAACTACATGTCCAAAACTACATGTCTTTCATATTAAACCAATTCTATTTGAATTGTGTATCGTCTATTTGGCCAATATTTTTGTATCTGTCTCGACAGCCTTAAGATCCTCATCTATACTTAGCGCTATGATAGATGTCGTCGACGAACATTTTATATCGATTCCAACATTTTTTCATAAAGACATAACATAGAGATCTCTTCATTCATATATTCAGGTACCTGAATCTCTCATGAGATTTTATGAAGTGTTATGTCATGTGATCTTCTAGATCACTTGCCTCCTTTATTATGATCATTTGATCATTTGCTCATCTTCCTTATCAAGAAGTTTATTTGAAACCGATTTGTCTATACGCTTTAAGCGTACCATAGACTTTGTCCTTATAGGATTTAATATGAGCATTTGCAATGAGAATATAGTTACTTTCTTTGGGTAAGCAAATGCGTCTGGCATGCTTTGCAATATATTGCAGATGAATTATCTTTTTATGAACTTCAGGTTCATATTATCGTATTTGAGGATCTAGATATACAAATGATAATCAATTCCAAGTAACTTTTTCTCAATTGTTTATCATGTCTTCGCCTCATGTTATAAATACTAACTTGCTTCCTCAATTTTGGGAACCCATCTTTGTACGTTATGGTCTTAATCAATATATACGTTATGGTCTGAAATTATTTGGTTCCTGACCCCGAACCACTTGTGAGGGGAGAATGTAATATACTTTCGTATATGACCTATATCAAACTGATATAGATAATTTTGTTCTCATCAGCAACAATTTAGCTATTAAGTGGAGGCGCTCAATAAATTATTTTGCTAAACCAGCTGTGATGTAAACCAACTTATCAAGATGAACTTCTTGAATAGAAAATCTGGAAATTATGCTCGAAATTAAACTATTGAGCAAGTTACCTCGCAAAACAACATGTTGCGAGTTAATAATAATTGTACATGTAACCATCTCATAAATGCATCTTATGTGGTATACATGGCAGGTGAATGGGTCCATATTCACCTTTGATATTTCCAGAATTCATGGGATTCAATTCCAACTTTAGTTGGTCAATTAATTAATGAGAATAAGCAATATAAGAGAATTCGTAAAGAACTTTCTAGTTCTTTAATATTTACCCATGTGAATTCTCTATTATTTTTGCACATCATACTTAAATTGATATGGCTAAACCATTTATGCCAACCGAATAAATTATCAATATTGATAAACTTCAGGTTTACACCATGACGCATGCAATTATCAATAAACTTCAAGTTTATTATGATATGAGTTTTTATATCAATAAACTTCTACTTTATTGTTGCATTCTTTTATTTATGTAGTACAAATTGGAGAATAAAGCGGATAGCTCTTCACATATATATTACTCCGCTACAAGTTATAGTAATAGAAGATATTAAATCTTTCCTTTATTTATAGTCTCAATATAACCAACCGCTTCCGCGAATACTTTAGAAACTGAATAAGTTTCTTTGAGACTTACTACAACACAATACCTTATTGGTAATCAATTGTGTTTCTCTAAAATAGTATAATTGGCTCTTCCAGAGCTCTCAATTAATTTTATACTACCACATATTCATCAAGATTCATATGGTCATATATCTCTTTCAAGGAGAAAGTTATACCATTATGGTTATGGTCAAAATTATATGCAAGATATATTTCTTGAATTAATGTTATTCTTTAATAATCGCATTACCAAAATATTTTGGTGTGCAATAGGTACGTGACCAATGACCATTCATGCCATAATAATGACATTATTTTCTTATATCATCTCAAACCTCCTTCTAGAGGTGAGTGTGGTATATTCACTACCACTAGCACGTTCATATTCTTCCAAGAATGAATATGCATTCATAAATTAGATGTTGTCATATTCACATCATGAATGGACCATAATCATCTATACGTGCTTTATAAAATCTCATGTCAAATCGATGACAAATATTACTTTCACAAAGTGAATGATTATTTTGAGAATCCTTATTGTTCTCATTACCACAATGATGACGATTATAATTTCGTTTATTGTCACGTCCACATACATTGATACATTCATAGTAATAATTTTATCTTCTTTCAGACTTATCACATACGGCTATCACATTCTCTAAAGGGAATGAGAATGGAGCAAATTCAATGGGACGGGGTTTCAATTCTTTGCCCACAATCATACATGAATTTGATCATGGCGAGGCATAAAAATTTTACCACTATGGGTGGTTATAATATCTTTCAAACTCCATTAGAGTTGCAATCAAAATTTATCGTCTTTGCTTGTATTTAAAATCAAATTATAGAATGTCAAGAATTTGAAAGAGAAAAATAAAATACTTACCTTAAATCCAGAATTTAATCATGAAGGAAGTTCATAGAATAATTGACAATCATTATGCTCAATCCCAAATCTTCTACTCAATTGGTTAGAGTCTCGTGCTGATAACGTGTTATGAAACAATAAAAGAAGAGGAAGAGTATTGCAGAGCAAAGTAGAGAGAAGAGAATTCTTATTGATATGGGATGATTTACAATGGAATAGAACCCTCTATTTATAGGGAGAGGGTGACTTAGCCACCAAGTAATAAACCTTAGAATCTCTCTAAATATAGACATTCACCATAAATAAAATTTTATTTATAACAAATACAAATTTTATACAACTGCTCATGCATTATACAACTATTTTTCAACTTTCATACAACATTCAAATAAAAAAATATATAACTACAACATAATACAATTTAAATACAATTTGCATACAACTTTAATACAATTCGTAACTATTGTATGTCATGTGTTCTTCTTCTTCTTCTCCTCCTCCTTCCTCTTTCTTCCTCCTTCTTCTCCTTCTCCTTCTCCTCCTCCTCCTCCTCCTTCCTCCTCCTTCTTTCAATCTTAAATTCAGCCAAAACCAAGTCTAATCTTCACCAAACGCCCTCAAATGTGAGATATAAGTTCCAAAGAACATTCCTAATTGTTTGCAACACCCAATCCAAACAAATAATAATTTTTGAAAACCCAAATTCGAATTCAAAGTTTCGAAACTTTTTAATGGTTGTCAATGGGAGAGAGTCAAACACCTTCAAAATTTATTGATTGATAATTTCAATTCGAACACCAATTGTGCAACATGATATAAAATTGCTAAGTTAAGACTCTATATTAACATAATTGAAATTCATTGATGAATTCCGTGGAAAAAAAAAGAGAGAGGATAAAAGGCGTAGAAAAATGAAGAAAGAAAAATTGGGAAAAGAACAGACGAGGAGGAGGAGGAGGAGGAGGAGGAGAGAGAGAGAGAGCAGAGATGGGAAATAACTTATTCCCTATTCAATTCCTAATATAAAGGGATACTCATTAATACTAATTTGTATATAATTGGTAAATTGTATATGCCCATGTAATTAAGTTAAACCTTAATTAGGGATAGTAATAAAGTTTCATATGTAGTATAGGAAGGTAAAAATTCAAAAAATATTTTTATACAGCATATAACCATCTCGTTCATCAAGACTCCAATTACTTATTGCATGTTTGACCAAAAGAACATTTTTTTTCTAAATTTAAGGTATTTGGCTAAGCTTTTAGAAGATAAAAAGTATTTCTGAGTAGAAGCAGAAATAATTTTTGAGAAACAGAAAAAAATAGTTTCTTTTAAAAGTATTTTTTTAAATGCACTTTTGAGAAAAATATACTTAGAAGTATTTTTTAAAAACTTGACCAAATATTAATTGCTGCTCAAAAGTATTTTTTAAATTAGTTAGCCAAACATAAGATGTTTCCCACTAAAATTACTTTTTGAAAAGTACTTTTGTGAAAAATACTTTTTAAAAATGCTAATTTTAGAAGCACGGCCAAACAAAATATTACACACCAAACAATCGAAGCTTCATTAATGGGAGGGGTGAATTTTCTACCGCACGGGCATTATGATATTTATTTTTTTCATTGTGGAATTCATATGGCGAAGTTTGATGAGAGATGTGGGAATAAAGAGTTCATATAGTTGAAAACTGTTTTTAAAAAAAATATATCACAATGACGTAGTGAGTGTAGTTACGTACGTTGTATTCCAGACGTAGTGAGTGTAGTTGAATTAACACGTAGATTCACACCTTTATTTTTACGTAAGATTATATCAACTTAAGCCTAATGATATATATTTGATTTCGCAAATGACCGTATGAGATGTTATTGTAAACCATGTGATTGAATTCAGATTGGATTAATTGCGCAATTCACTATCTCACATAAAAACCTCAAGATGACAACCTCATCTATTATTTATTAAGTTGCTTTACTCTCATTCTACATGCTCATTAGCATGGGCAAAATCTGTTGGGAATAAACCCCTTACCAAAATAATATTCACGGTAATAAAGCGGAATAATAATGTAGCACCGAGATACGGTAATTAACAAGAATAAAAGAGTAACAATGACACCAAAATTTTTACGTGGAAAACCCTTCTGAATAAGGGAAAAAACCACGACCCCGAGAGGAGCAACTGATATCACTATAGTAAGGAATTTTACAACTTTGTAGGTCGGAGGTAAATACTCCAAAGACCACTACAACACTCAAAAGAAATAACCCTCTTTTGATATTCCCACCTCACTACAATATCGCTCTCTCTCTATTTTCCTCACAGACTATTTTCTTATACCTTGTCTGTGAAACCTTACTCTTTCTTTCTCTCTTTGTTGGTGTGTAGAAATGAGAGTTGAAGCTCTCCTTTTATAGCCAAAGCTTCACCCTCTAAAGCCTACAATATTTGACAATTTACACACACTTTTCACAATTCAACAAAGTTGGCTACCAAACCAAAGAAATTCAACAAGGTTGGCTACCAAACCAAACTAATTCAACAAGGTTGGCTACCAACCAAACCAAGTCAACAAGGTTGGCTACCAAACCAAAGAAAACTCTTATTAGGCACATGCCTAATACTTCTTCAATGAGATGGACATCATCAAAATCATGGAGTCTGAAGCTGAGCAGCCCCTGTTGGCTGCTCATGGAGCAAGCTCCGAGCTTGAGGAGGTGCTCTCCGACTCCCAATTACCTTACTTTCAACGCCTTAGGTCCGCCTCTTGGATCAAATTCCAGCTGCTTTTTCGACTTGCAGCCCCTGCAGTAGCTGTATACATGATCAACAATGCTATGTCCATATCCACTCGGATATTTTCAGGACAACTTGGGAACCGCGATCAAAACATCCAATTATTTGCTTATGGCCTTATGGCGGTGTACTTTTATTATCTCTGAATTTCTTTCTTAATTGATCACATGTATAAATTTTCTAAACTATTTCTTTTACCTTATTGATTGCAGCTAGGAATGGGGAGTGCAGTGGAAACACTTTGTGGACAAGCATCACTTGTGCTGAGTTTTTCTTGGTGGATTGTTGTGGTGGCTCAATTTATATACATATTGAGAAGTGAAAGGTGTAAAGCTACTTGGACAGGTTTTCGACGGGAGGCCTTTAGTGGATTATGGCAATTTGTGAAGTTATCGGCTGCTTCAGCTGTTATGTTGTGTTTGGAGAATTGGTATTTTCAGATTCTAGTGTTGCTTGCTGGTTTACTCAAGAATCCTGAGCTTGCCTTAGATTCTATCTCTGTTTGGTGAGATTCAATTGTACCTTCTATTTATTTGTATGCTACCAAAAACTGCATGTCTGTTCATGATCCCATAAGACTAGTTAGTTATCATAGTGGCAAGATCAAGAACTTCCACTCCAGTAAAAGGTTAATTAGTTGTTAATCAATTGTGACTTTTCTTTGCCAACATTTAGTAGTGGTACTCTAAATGTGTATTGTTGTTAAAATTTTGGATCCGCTTCTGTTATCTTGCATTGTTTAAGTGACCTGCGTGTTGCTAATGAGCTAAAGACTATATTTGTTTTATTTTTGTAGCATGTCAGTGAATGGGCTGATGTTCATGGTTTCAATGGTGTTCAATGCTGCTGCTAGGTAAGTTTTTGGCTATTTTTCTTTTTCTTGATTAATATTTGAACCAATCTTTTTGTGTAATATTGCTTTTCTAGGTTAAAAATAGGTGGTATTTTAGCAAATGACTTCCATCTTTATTGTTGTTAAAATTGGCAAACTGATCAGTGTAAGGGTGAGCAATGAATTAGGAGCAGCACATCCAAAGTCAGCAGCATTCTCAGTGTTTGTGGTGACATTCATATCATTTCTCATAGCTGTGGTGGAAGCCATAATTGTGCTGTGTTTGCGCAATGTTATCAGCTATGCATTCACTGAGGGTGAAACTGTGGCCAATGCAGTATCTGATTTATGTCCATTTTTAGCTGTCACCCTCATTCTCAGTGGTGTTCAGCACAGTGTTATCTGGTAAAATACTTGTCTTGTCCTTAATCTCATTAATTATAAGATTTATTTATATACACTGACATTGTAAAAAAAATTCTCGTTATCAGTATAATTTAACCCATTATAGCATATTACATGTCTTGCTCTTTAGGTTACTAATCTCAATATTCATGAGTAGTTATCTATCGTTAAATATTCTGTTACACAATAATTTAAACTCTCTAAGTCACTGGTTCTTCTTGTTTTATACCAGATATGCCATGTCAATATTAATTACATGTTGCATGGGGATGGTAGAGCAATGCTTGGATCTCAATTGGTGCTATGGTAATGAATACATCTTTTTGAATAGAGTAACTAAAGTTTGGTAGAAAACAGTAAGTAATTAGGTGCAAAATGTAAGAACACATAAAATTAAAGTGATAAGTTTTAAATCTTATTTTAAACGTTTACTAAGTTGCGTGACCTAATTAAGAATTTAGTATTCAAGTTGGTAAAAGTTTTAGTTCTCATAAGTGTTATCTTTTACCCAATTTGGTCTTAAATGGTCCAATGAACTTTTTTGTTTTTTGTTCTTAAGTGCTCAATAAGCTTGTCATCACTTTCTGGGAGAGTGACAAATAGGAGAAAAAGACACTATAAGCACAACAAATAAGGTAGACAACTTGACTTGACAAAAAAGTGATATCACAGACCTTGTTGAATCCATGTTTCAGTACAGTGACTCATGTACTCCCTTTGAGATAAGAATGTGAAAGGTGCCATCTAAGTTGTCTTAATATATTCTTAAGTTGAGGTCCATAATATGGACTTAGTGCGATGAGATAGTCTAGTAGACGTGCACTACTAAATGACTTTCAAATTTTCTTCTCGCCCTCTATCCACCCATCTCCTTGTCATAATAATGCAGTGGGGTGAAAGATTATCAATTTATCATGCCCCTCTAATACAAACCTTTTTAATCCTAGTTTGTTTTCATTTGGAAATTTGCAGTTTGTTTGGCTTGCATAACGAACGTAGTCACCATCTTGCGTATAGAAAATATTTCATCTACGTCCTCACTGTTTCATAGGCAGATCGAATTGTTAGGTGTACCGTGTACCTCAATATTTTGCACCTGTCCTTGATCCCCTACCAACTAATGTTTTCCTTTGACAAGTCCGTGGACTTGAGCATATTTTAGTAGCGTACAAAAGTTACTATATTAAACTAGTAATAAAAACCGTATCGTCCAACTTCATTAAAAGGTTGAATTTTCTATATTTTCAGGTGTTGCTGTTGGCTGTGGATGGCAGGCGTTTGTTGCCTACGTGAATGTAGGGTGTAATTATGCTGTAGGAATTCCAGTGGGATGTCTTCTCGGATTCAGGTTTGACCTTGGTGCTAAGGTTTTCCAATACACACAATTCATAATTGTAGAAGCCTTCCATTATTATACAAATTTTAAAACAAACACACATGAATATATGTATGTCCATAGCCTGGCTTGCGTGACATATTAACTGGATTAATGGCAGGGAATATGGACTGGGATGATTGGAGGGACTGTGATGCAAACCATCATTTTGCTTTGGTTCACATACCGTACAGATTGGAATAAAGAGGTAACTTACAGTCAATAGTTACAAAATTGCACAAGAAAGTGGTAAGTTTGTAACTGAATTTGGGGTTCTTTTTTTCTTTTCCAGGTTGAGAAAGCTAGAACACGTCTAGACAAATGGGGAAACGTAAAAGAACCTCTAAACAAGGAATGAAGGTGGTGAAGAACATTAGGACTAAGAATAAAACGAGGAGATGAGGTGCCAAGTAATTCTTGCAGTAACCTGCCAGGCCAAAGAAGTGGTCTACAGTTCAGATTACCAATGATTCTGGCACATCTGCCAAAAGAAAGTTTCATTCATCATTACCTTCGGTCAATTTCCATCAATTAATCATATCAAATATGTCAAAACCATTGTCTGTATCTGCCAATTTCTTGTTTGATTGTGTTACAAAAATGAACTCCAATTCTGCAATTAGGCCAACAACGTGCAATCAAATTGATTCCATGAGCGTCTAACCAGGAAAAAAATGAAAACACTGAAAGCAGTAACGGGCTATGCTTACAGTTTTGCTCTAACACTCGTGTAAGAAACCTAGATAGAATAAGAAAGGCAACTACATTGCATATGAAGAGTATTGCACTACTCACGACAGAGAACAATCACAACCATTTACAAAAAAATCTTTGCAGTACTCACGACAGAGAACAATCACAACCATTTACAAAAAAATCTTTAGTTTGTTTCTTAATGTCCAAGTACAAAATATTTCTCATATCCAGCGTGTGTTCCCTCATATGAGCGGTTAAAAACAACAAAAGCAGCAGAAACTCTGCATATAATCAATTTATATTTTGAGGCGACTAAGGTAACACGGTGATTTGGGGATCCGTATTATGAAGAACACAAAATTTGCATAGACAACAAAATAATGCTCCCCAAAATAGAGAATGACTTAATTTTAAGTACCAGAGATAACTCTCAATAAGCCTCTGGTGGGTGAGACGTACTCAGCCTCAATCACAATTAATCATTTGCCATGCCTGCTCCCACATTTGTTACTCGTGCAGCTTAATCAACATCCATGACATCCTCCCTTTTACTTCTGGGATCCGAGCCTGAACCATCTTCAGTTTTTTGGGGCGATGACTTGTGCCTCATTACATGCTTGCACATCCTGAAATGTGTTTCACAATATTATTGCACAATAGGCAAGGAAAAAAAGAAAGATGCTGGAAAACACAAAAGATGCAGCAGAAATCAATAAGCTGCAGATCTCTCAAGAGTACTTGCTAGGCTCTTCCTAATTGGGTCTTAACCATAACTCCTAACCAATCAATCATAAATTCTAACAATTAGTTAAGGAGTAAGAGTAGAGTGGCTTTGCTTTCAGGGAAACGACTCTTTTATGTATGTGGTAAGTGTAGGCAGAATGATGACGCCTTCTCAAAGTCTGAAAAAGAGTGATGGCGTACATGTGTGCCTGTGGGTGTGTGGTATACCTAGATACATACTAGATAATTAGTATGTATCTAATTGTTCCTTCACTGCCAATTAAATAGCATAAAAGAATTTTCCCTGGATTTTCAAAACGAACACAACTAGGGTACAACTCCAACCAAAGAGCATGAAACAGGTGCTAATGCAAAATTATATCTTCTCTTCAAATATCATCATCTTTATAAAACAATCTAACTGCCTGTCCACCCAAATTTCAAAATTAATATTTTGCTTACCCAGTAAAAGAATATCACACAAATATGAGTACACAGGGACAACAGCTTGGCAGGAAAGAATTGCACCAAGAAACAGCTGTGGTTTTTTCTTATCAAAAGAAACAGATTTATTTTAAATAACTAATTGCAGTTTTAAGAAAAAGGATAACTTTCAAATCTGCTCCATTTCAGGAACGGAAATAATGTAAAATTACTCATACAATATTTCCTTATCTTCTGCAAGTATACAGAATGTACTAAATAACAATTTGCTGTTTCCTGAGTTGATTCACTACAATATTTAAGATGAGTAATCATAAAAAGAAGAATTTTCAAGATTGAATAAAATAGGTAACTTTGGCCGAGTCATTCTTAAAACTTGAAAATTGGACAAAAGAAAAAAACAGATAGATGGAATAACTTTAGGCAAATTAACTTTAATGAGATGGTTACTGATCATGTCAAGAATGCAACCTAGTAATTTATACCCCTAAACTATGAAGAAACAGACGTTTCTTTAAAATAATTAATTGCAGATATAAGAAAAAGGATAACTTTCAACTCTGCTCCATTTCAGGAAATGAAATAAATGTAAATTTACTCAGAATTTTTTCCTCATCTTCTTGTAAGCATACAGAATGTATTAAATAACAATATACTTTTTAAGATGAATAACAATATAAAGAAGAATTTTCAAGATTGAACAAAGTAGGTGACTTTGGCCGATACTTAAAATTTGAAAACTGACCACGTCAAGAATACAACCTAGTTATTTAAACCCCTAAATCTATGAAGACTGGTCAATCAAAACTTTCCACCACTGTGATGACCAGCAAACTAAAACATCACACACAATGCACAGCCAAGAATGCAATTTGAAACATCATAACCATGTGAATGTGTCAGTTAAGCATGGACTAGCTGAAGGCAGAAAAAAGAGCAAATCACTCACTGAAGGGCGGAAAAAAGAGTAAATCAAGTTTTCAGAACAATCTTGCGGGTACCGACCACATGCAACCATAAGATGTCTAACAACCGTGATGTGAAAAACAAGATTGTTGATGTATCATATGTTCATTAGCCATGTTTGGTAATACAAAGAACATACGCTTCAAAAGCCTCTGTCTTTCTTTTGATTTCACTAGACCACAGTACTGGATCAGCATTTCTCGGCAATGCCTCCTGCTGATGGGATTTCTCTCGGAGCCATTGCTCTGCTTTATGGCATTCGTTAATGACCTGCAAAGAAAAAGTTCAGTTAAATCACGGTGTCACAAGGAGGTTCCGGTGACCTGTACATGTTATATAAACAAGGTCATACGGCGTCTTTCTCACTGGCTGGAAGTGATCCTGCAGCCATCCGGTATTCCACAATGCTATTTAATAGATTTCGTGTTGCTTGTGCCCGCGTCTCTTCTTCCTTATATCGATTCTCCACGGGATCCACCATCTAATAAGAAATGGTTGATTGCGTCACTTCCAAACAGTTAATAAGCATCGGAAAAGCAAAACTAAACTCTACAACTAATACCAAATGACAAGAACCTTTTTAAGATCATCTAGCTTCTCCGCATAGACATGTTCAGACTCATCATCTCCATCTTCATAGAGCCATTCTTCAGTCTGTTGTAGATTACAAGAGATACCCTCCCTCTCTGAATCCGTAGCAAAGCTCCGGTATGTATTCAAAAGCTATTAAAAAGAAATTCAAGTAGATGCATAAAGTAAAGGAAGTGGACCAAGATACTGATAACAATTAACTAAACAAAAACCAAATTAGCAAATGGCGTATATCAAAATTGACATTTGGACACAAACGTCCATAACAAAATGACAAGGTAATAAATATTAAATAGCGACAAAAAACTACTATGCATCAAGTCCAACATACGTTTTGAAAGTTGATTAGTGTCACATACTGGTATTGGCAAAACAACCTTAGAAGGAAGAATAAAAAATGCTAGTAGTACTGCAAATTCAACAGTCCATCAAAAATTGAAAAACGGCGACTTGTCAAGGTAAGGATAATGAGAAAGTAAAATTTTACATTTATGATTTGACGCATTATCACTCCTCAACCTTCCACTTCAGTGTGAAACTTTAATTTAAATATGAAAATGTTACATACTTTCAAGGTGCATTCTTAACTTAAAAGTGTGAAACAAATCAGTTGAAACGTTAGCACAACTTAACCTACTTCCCTGGCAGTCTTTGAAGAAAAGATCGTTACGACACTTAAAATTTGATGTTATACCTTATTACGAGTTTCATAGACGTATGCCTCCAGGGTGTTTTTCTTATCTTTAGTTCGCTCCACCTTTATGTCTTGCTCAGCTAAATGGCATTCCTTTTCCTGAGCTTGGGATAGCTCCGCCAGTGTCATTCCCCCATTGACACTTTCACTGACAGGTATATCCTGCCTCTTAACGGCCATACTTTTTCTTGTATCATCTCCCTGCATAAAGAATCACATGGTTCCATTTACAAGTAGCCAACTACACATTTACACAGCCAAAATGTTTCCAACCAAAGAATAATAAATGGCACACAAATGGAATAACATCTCAGAGGTTAACAAACAAGACCACCACAAAAGCTCATGGAAACTTTTTTCACTTCATTCAGTCTGGCCTAGTTGTTCAAACTCCAAGAGAATTAATTACTATAGATTAGAAGAAGCAAAATGAATCACAATGATCCCTTAGTTCTAAATAATTTGAAAAAAGAATGTGGCATGCAATATGACTAAAATTAAACACAAAGTGTTTTATATAAATATATATATATGTGTGTGTGTGTGTGTGTGTGTCAAGAAATGCAATATCTTGAATCCTTTTGTTTTCATATTTTAAAATCAGTATCTTCATAAAAATCATATTGTATTCTTTATACAATATCCAACCTGGATATTGTACTCCCATATCCAGAAGATGAACGCAGCTGAAATGAGGATGTTCCGATGGATGTGCGGGCACACTAGGTTGGATAGGATTACGAATGAGGATATTCGGAAGAAGGTGGGCGTGGTCCCATGGAGGATAATATGTGAGAAGCGAAGCTTAGATGGTTTGGGCATGTAAGAAGGAGAAGCTTAGATGCCCCAGTAAGGAGGTGTGAACGGTTGGCTCTGGCGGGCATGAGAAGAGGTAGAGGGCGGCCTAAGAAATATTCGGGAGAGCTGATCAGGGAAGACATGGCACGACTTCAGCTTACCAAGAACATGGCCCTTGATAGGAGGGTATGGAGGTCGAGGATTAAAATAGAGGGGTAATAGGTCGTAGTGTGTTTCTCTGGACCGTTCCGAGTTTATTAGGGCTAGTCTGCTAGTACCTTGTCGTTGTTCCTAGATTGCTAGTATTATGGCTATTTCTTCCTATCTTCTGCTTTGGTTTTCTAGTATTTGTCGTGGTTACTGTTTGTTGCTATTGCTAGTGTTATTGCTTTCTTCCATCTATTTTTTTTCTAGCTCTTACATTGTTTTATCATTTTTCTGGCTATTGTTATTGGTATTTGATTGTTTTCTATTCATCATCTCGAGCCGAGGGACTTTCGGAAACAGCCTCTCTACCTCCCAGGGTAGAGATAAGGTTTACGTACACATTACCCTCCGCAGACCCCATTTATGGGATCCCACTGGGTTTTTTGCTGTTGTTGTTGTATTCTTTATCCAAAAAAAAAATCATATTGTATTGCCCCAAAGAAGATAAAAATGTCAAATATACCATTTAAATGGATCAGCATTTTTAACTAGTTGTAGGAAGCATAAAAACATATTTGCACTAACGACTGTAAATTGATAAACATGCGACCATTGGGGATCTCTGTCCTCGGTCAAAATGATTGTAAAT